GGCAGGGAGGCAGGGAGGCAGGGAGGCAGGGAGGCAGGGAGGCAGGGGGCAGGGGGCAGGGAGGCAGGGGGCAGGGAGGCAGGGAGGCAGGGAGGCAGGAGGCAGGGAGGCAGGGAGGCAGGGGGCAGGGAGGCAGGGAGGCAGGGGGCAGGGAGGCAGGGAGGCAGGGGCAGGGGGCAGGGAGGCAGGGGGCAGGGAGGCAGGGGGCAGGGAGGCAGGGGGCAGGGGGTGGGAGGTAGGGGGCAGGGTCATATTTTGACTGCACACAGAAAGCAGAACCACGCTCTAAGGACCCTCAAGCTCTGTCCCCAGTGGAGCTAAGTCCAGCAAGGCTCTGCTCTGTCTCCTAAGATTTTACAACACCCAGACTGGGGACCAAGCGTTGAAATCCAAGAGCCCTTGCGACATGTTCTCATGCTAACCAGCACACATATGATTATTATAAGCTATTGGTATGGTAACATTGATGTAAGGAACATTTGGGGCTCAGGGGGTTCCCATGGAATAAGGAAATGCCTCTATTAGAACAAACTGCTGGTTCTGAAAGCCAGAGTTTTCGAGAAGCGTGTTGAGCTTCTTTGTAGCTCTATCCTAGCACGCAGGCATAGGGCCTGATGCGCAGCCAGCACCCCTAAGGGTTTGTCAGCTGACCGAGTGAATAAGCTCTGAGAGACCTGACAAATGAACCCCAATTCTGGAGAGAAAGAACCATTCCGATCCCCAACCCTTTGGTTCCACAGCGTTCTCTTCTCACTCCTTCCCCCATATTTCCACGCATGCATCATGCTGACCAAAGCAACTCTCCCGAAGTACACTCGAGTATGCAGGGCCCTCCAACTAGGCTCTTTGCTAAAGGGGTTTTTAATACTCTGTTTCTCCACACAGCATATCAGGCATACAAGAGGAGGCAGAAGAGCAAGCTCCAGAGGCAGCACCCTGGTTGCCCAGAGGTCAGCTACGAGAAGCCCAGAGAGACCAGTGCTTTCTTAGAGGAAGGAGATGAAGCCGCTATAACTCTGGGGCCACCGGGACCAGAGCAGCTGCACAGGGCTGCTGAGTAATCAGCCACATTCCATCATGGGAACAGGGGCCAGCTTGGCCCTCCATCTTCCTTCGCGGCCAGGAAAGACCACGCACGGATGTGTGAACGTCACTGGAGGAACTGTGTGAGCAAGCAGCAAACGGTTGAATTCTTAGGTTCTTCCGTCCCTGTCTGTCTCCTGGGGAACAGTGAGTGGCCGCTGGCAGTGAGCAGCAGGCATTTCCTGGTGAAGCTGGCCTCCGCCGTGGATTTTAACGGAAGAGAGAGAACATCAGTGTAGCGGAGACTCACACTGCAGGACGGAGCCCGTCCAGATCCACTGACTTCTTGGCTGTGAGCAGGTGCTCTGGAGTGCTTAGGGAAGAGACACTCAGAAGAAATAGGCTTCAAGGACATGAGTTTTAAGGGATCAAGCATCTTGTAATTTTGATACATGTGTGATACTCTAAAGGAAACGGGAAGAATCTAAAAAGTGAATATCTGGGTGAGTTCTTTCTCCAGAGAGGAACAGACATGTGCCTAGAACCTCCATAACAGAGACACATGTGCAAACCTTGGGTATCCTGTGTGCAAAGTCATCTAAAATGTCCAAAGTTTGTCCTCTGTGTTCTGACATTGGCTGGCGATGATCTCGGAACAACTTTCTACATCTGTCTGTGTTACCTACCTCATTCTTTAGAACAGTGCTACGTCCAAGTGTTGTGTCATATAGGACAGTAACTTATTTAACTCATCGATATTAGCGAGTATCCAGATGCCTCCCAGTGTAGCGTGGCTGTGAGTGGCCCTCATGCCCGTGTCCTTGTAGGACCCTTCCTGCAGTCTGCTGGACAGGCTCGCTGCTCCTCAAAAGGTTGGATTGCTCTGTTTCGGAAGGGCTCTGTTGTTCAATCTCACAAGCTTAAGAAATGATTTTTCATTGCTTTGATTTGTGAAAACATCTCATTAAATTATGACATCAAAACATGAACTAGGGCATTTTTATGTTCATTTCCTTCTTTGCGTATTTGACCTGGTTTTATCCCTGTGACATTTTTCTTTTGCTTTTTTTGAAGACAGACAGAATTTCACATGGTGTCTGTCCAGGGTAGTGTTAAGCTTCCAAAAACCTTCCCGCCTCAGCCTCTCGAGTGCTCAAAATTGCAGTGTGGGCCACTGTGCTGGCTGCTCTAGTCTTACCAAAGTACAGGTAGTACTTTGTCAAGGGCTCAGCTTTTGTTTTCTTAGGATGTCTGTTGTTGCAGAGACTTACATTTTTCACACCTTTTAGCTTTATCAGTCTTTTAAAGTTGTTGTAGAGGCCGGAAGTTGGAATGTTAGCCTTTTATGTAGATTATGAGCTGTCATATGTCCCCCGTGGAGAATCATGTGCGTCATTCCATTGTTTATCTGCCGCGGGTAACCGCTCACACAGTAGGCGGTGCCTGGCCAGAGGAAAGGCCACACCTCCCTACCCTGACATTATTGAAAATACTTTCCTATACGCTTTTCTATTACCTCTGTGGGTGTAATACTTGCCTATCCCTTATTCTTGGTGCAGGGTATTAAAATTCTGCCTTTAAAATCTGTCCTTATCCACTCTTGTTTTGTGCGTGTGTGTGAGGGGGCGACACATGGCCCGGCATGCCACGTGGAGTCAGAGGACAGTTTGAGGCGCTGGTCCTTGTCTTCTGCCTGGTAGGAGATGAGGTTTGTGCTAGTCACTGCATGCCTGACTAGCTGTCTAGTGTGCTTCTGGGGACCCGGTCTCTACCCATTTCACCCAGGAGCCTGAGATTATAGATGCACTCACTCTGGCACCTAGTTGTATGTGGGTTCTGCACACAAATCCAGGCCCGTCAGCTGGTGAGGAAAATGCTTTACCCACTGAGCCATCGGTCCAGCCCAAGAATTTTATTTAAATTCTTGTTTTTAGATTTTATTTACCTTAAAAGCAAGAGTGTTTTGCCTTGCATCAATGTACGTGCCCCATATGTATGTCTGTGCTTGTAGAGGTCGGAAGAGGGAGTGGGATCCTCTGGAACTGGAACTGTGGATCATTGTAAACCTCCAGATGAGTGCTGGGAACCAAACCCAGGTCCCTTGCAGGAGCAGCAAGTCAAATGCTCTTAACCACTGAGTCATCTCTGCAATCCTGATTCTAGTTTTTTATTTGGGGTCCTCTGGAAGAGCAACAAATGCTCCTAACCTCTGAGCCATCCCTCTCAATGATATTATATTGTAAGGGTCTGAGAAATGCTGAGGAAGTCCCCAAACATGAAGAGTAAGCACAAACAGGCAGGCAGCTGTTATATCAGTACACTTTTGATAGGCTGAGGTTTTGGTTTCTTTGGACAGCTGCTCCACTTGATAAGTGTTCAAAGGGAAGCTAGTTTACGTCACACTTGTCCCCACAGGACAAGCAAATCAGAGTGGAAAGGATTCTTTCCCTTGGGAGGTGATAGTCTAGAGGAAGTAGACAGACCACTGAGGGGACATGAGCAGGAGAGCTGAGAGTTAAGATCCAAAAGCAGCATCACTGAGAGGGTTGGAAGAAGGACGAGAAAGAAGTTTCTGGATGTCTCTCTATGTGAGCACCGATGGAAAAGGTACAACTCAACACTCCACTCTGAGCTGGCAATAGAGTCAGAATTAGCCACTTAGAACACCCCCAGGAAGGGACACGTAACGAAAGGCAGATTTGTTAAGGACAGAAACACCAGTCACCGCTGCTGACTCTGAGTGACAGCAGTCTGCTTGCAGGGACGGTCACAGTTCCTAGAACAGAGGGTAAAGCCTGGTGCACTGCTCAGCTTTGTTTGACTTTCCAATTTGAAATAAGAGTCATCTGGGAAGAGGAAAGATCAGCTGAGAAAATGCCTCCCTTAGACTGGCTTGTAGGCAAGTCTCTGTGTGTGTGTGGGGGCAGTATTTTCTTGATTTAGTGATTGATATGGGAGGACCTAGCCAACTCTGGGGGCAGTGCCAGAGTTGCATTTGCAGACTGCATAGACAACGGGGAGCAGGTAGTAAGCAGTGTTCCTCCATGGTCTCTGCTTCAGTTCCTGCCCAGGCTTTCCTCAGTGATGGAGAGTGGCCTGGGTACATGTAAGCCAAATCAGCCCTTTCCCCAAGTTGCTTTTGGTCATGGTCTTTTTCACGGCAATAGAAAACAAATGACCCTTCAAAAGTGTGACTAAGCTAGGCAGTGGTAGCACACACCTTTAATCCCAGCATTTGTGAGGCAGAGGCAAGAGAATCTCTGTGAGTCCAAGGCCAGTCTTGTCTACAAAGTGAGTTCCAGGACAGCCAGGATTATTACACAGAAAAACTGACTCAAAACAAACAATAAGCAAAAAAACCAAAAGCCAAAAGAAAAATAAAAGCTTAACTAAATGCATTGCATTATAGTTGATGCAATGAATTACAAGCTATTAAAAGCTGGCCCTCACTCTCTTCAGAAGTGGGGCCGACAGGCTAATGCGGCACAGCGTGGATGCGGCACTGCATGGTCCTGGCAGCGGGTGGGAAGAACATGGCTTTCTCAGCAGTGGTGGTTTCCCATGCTCACAGGGTACTGTGAGTTGGGATTTCCAGACCATCAAAGAGGCTATGGTAACTATAAAGCTGCTGAGCTATAGAGACAATCCTAGAGAGGCCTATGAGTGAGCCTGTTGGAGATTCTGGAAAGGCAGTTCATCTCCCCATACATGCTTGACCTCTATCAGCCAAGGTCACTCTCTCTGACCAACCAAGCAGGCAGCTTCCAAAGGGACACAGACGGAGCAGCAAGGGAGGAAGGGGACACAAGTATAGTCAGCTAAATCAGCCAAATTCACCCCCATGGCCCATGGGTGACATGTCGCAGATCACCTATAGAACGCAGTTTTCCTGGCCTGACCACTTGCTCCCCATCTTGGAAGCTGCTTCTGAATGACCACACAGAGACTAAATATTATTTATTAATGCTTGGCAATAGCTCAGGCTTATTACTAGCTAGCTCTGACACTTAAATTAACCCATATTTCTATTTATGCTTTGCCATGTGACTCATAACTTGCTACCTCTTTTTCTACAAATCCTGCTTCCTCAGTGACTAGCTGGCATCTCCTCTGACCCCGCTCTTCTTCCCATCATTCTCCTAGTTTGGTTGTCCTGCCTATAATTCCTGCCTGGCTACTAGCCAGCTTTTTATTAAATCAATCTGAGGGAAAAATCTTCACAGTGTACAAAAGGGTTATTGCATAGCAATCACCTTCACATCTGAACCTGTTTTCTTAAGGGAAGAAAACAGATGTCCCATGTGGGCCAGCACAGACAGGTGCTTTTTCGTTACCTGCATCCAAATACAAACTGAAACTGGTACATTATAATTTAATTGGTCTTCAAATTTTCTGCAGGTTAACAAGCAGTTTGTCAAATATATCTCCATCATACAAAGGCACCATGAAGCTGGGCAGTGGTGGCTCATGCATCTAATCCCAGCACTTGGGAGGCAGAGGCAGGCGGATCTCTTGAGTTTGAGACTAGCCTAGTCTACAAGGTGAGTTTCAGGATAGCCATGGCCACACAGAGAAACCCTTTCTCAAAAAACAAGATCTTGTTGGCTGAGGTTTCTGTCCTGCCCAGTCCTGTTGCCATTTTGTTCCCCCCAAAATACACAGAGGCTTAACATTAATTATAAACTGGTTGGTCTCTTAGCTCAGGCTTCTTATTAACTAATTCTTACATCTTCAATTAGCCCATAATTCTTGCCTGTGTTAGCCACATGGCTTGGTACATTTTATCAGCAAGGCATCCTCATCTTGCTTCCTCTGTGTCTGGATGACGAATACAGACTGAGTCTTTCCTCTTCCCAGAATTCTCTTGTTCTCGTTGCTCCACCTCTACTTACTGTCTGGTTGCCCCACTTATATTTCCTGTCTGGCTACTAGCCAATCAGTGTTTTATTAAAATAATACAAGACCACTGTCCTGCAGCAATTACCCCCCCCTTTTTTAAAACAAGAACTATGACAAGAACTATGAATCTAATGTCTTTTTTTTTTTTAGCTTTCTTTCTAGACCATAACAACTTGTAACCAACACTTTAAACAAAGATAAATATCCATAATCCATTTTTTTGGGAATGTGGGCATAGTTTTCCAGGATACTTTCTGCTGATTGGGGGCATTGATAATCTTATTTGTCATAGGCAGAACCTGGAAACAAACTAAATGAGCCTTGATCAAAGAATGGATAAAAAAGATACGGTTCATTTATACAATATGGTACATTACACAGCAGGAAAAACTTGACATTTATGGGCAAATGGATGGATCTAGAAATAAGTGAGGTGTGGGGGCTGAGAAATGCAGGCCCATTTTCCCACTGTCTGTCAGTCAGAGAATTTGAGAGACTAACAGGTACAATTTGCACCTTCCACACAGGAGGTGGTCACCTGGCTCTCTTGAAGTTGGGTAAATTAGGTGCCATCCTGACAGGTGGTCAGGGTACGCCATTATGATTCTGCTCCTTCCATTGTAACTATGAGGTCACCTGGGGAGGAGGTGTTTCTGCCTCTGTGACCAAGTGGATGTGACTTGAGTCACACAGTTACCTAGGCAACAATGTTACAGAAGTCTGTTGTTACCTGCTCCCCCAGTTTATGTTCATATAAAAGCTGTGGAAAAAAAAAACAAACAAACAAAACCATGGGTGATTTTGGGGATGTGAATAATCCCTGAAACTCCCTCTCAATCCTGTCATGTGATTTGTGTCTTTATTTTCCCACGCCTCTACCATGGTGAAAAGTGTTTTTTGTGGAGGGTGTTCCTCAATAGTGAGGCAATCCAGACCCAGAAAGACAAATATAATATGTACTCACTCATAAGTGGCTTTTAGACATAAAGCAAAGAAAAGCCAGCCTACAGTTCACAATCCCACCGAACCTAGACAACAAAGAGAACAGGAAGAGAGACATACATGGTTCTTAACTACATGGGAAGTAGAAAAAGTTAACATCTTCTGAGTAAATTGGGAGCATGGGGACCTTGGGAGAGGGTTGAGAAGGGGAGGAAGGGAGGGAAGCAGAGAAAAATATATAGCTCAATAAAAACAATTTTAAAAGGGAAAAAAAGAAAGACATTAAAAAAAAAAGAAAATGTGTTACCTTTATACAATGGAGAATTACTTATCTGTTAAAAACAATATCATAATAAAATTTGCCAGCAAATGGTTAGAAATAGAAAAGATCATTCTGAGTGCAGTAACCCAGACCCAGAAAGACAAATATGGTGTGTATTCTCTTGTACGTGGATATTAGCCATAGAGTAAAGGATAACTACACTGCAATCTGCAGATCCAAAGAAGCGAAGTAACAAGGAGGGCTCAAGGGGACACATGAGGGGAAATAGAATAGATACCATAAGTAAATGGGGGAGAGGAACTTTGATGTGGGTTGGGCATGGGACAGGAGTGATCAGGTAATGGGGGATGGGAAGAAAGAGTCTGGGAAAAACAAGTGGAATTAGGGGCATCTCTCAGATGAGCTAGAAACCTACTGTAGTGGAATCTCCCAGGAATCTATGAGGGTGAGCCTAGCTAAGACTCCGACAATGGGGGATGGGGAACCTGAACCAGCCTGTACTTGGAATTTTCTTAGGGCCGCCAACCAACTCCCAAATAAAGACCCAGAGATTTATTATTATGAATGCTCAACTTTAGCTTAGGTTTGTCCCACTAGCTCTTTAAACTCAATTTAACTTGTTTCTATTCATCTACATTTTGTCTGATGTCTTATCTTTCATTCTGTATGTTCTACTTTCCTGCTTCCTCTGTGTCTGCCTGTCTGGTCCCTGGCATCTCCCTGGTGTCTCTTTTTCTTTCTTCCTTGAGCCTAAATTTCTTCTCCTCTTTACTCTCCCTCCCCAGAAACCCTGTCTATACTTCCTCCCTCACTATTGGCCATTCAGGTTTTTATTAGATCAGTCAGGTACCTTAGGCAGACAAGGTAAAACAGCAACACACCTCTACATAGTTAAACAAATATTCTACACCACTGGTCATCTCCTGCAACCAGGCAAGACCTCCAGTGGAGTGACCCCAACCAAGCCCAATAACCTCTGATGTACAATTGCCCTGCCTACAAGATATGCTGGGACAAAGGTGGCACAGAAATTATGGGAGTGGCCAACCAACGACTAGTCCAGCTTGAGATCCATGCTATGAGAGGGGAACCCACCCCTGACAATGCCTTGAGTGTTAGGACCAAGAGGCTGGACATCCCAGAGACCTAGGAGAGAACCAAACACAATGGCAAAAAGAAAAAAAGTCATTGAAAAGATTCCTAATGATATTTTGCCATACTCATGGGTCATTGCCTAGCCCAATGGTCATCAGAGAGGCTCCATCTGGCAACTGATGGAAACAGATGCAGAGACAGACCCACAGAAAATTTTAGATGGACCTTAGGAAATCCTGTGGAAGGGGAACAGTGATGGGGAACCTCCTCAGCCAATGGCTTTTAAGAGTTGGACCAGGTTGTGCATGACTTAGGGTACCAAAAAGCCACGGTCCCGCCCAGCTCTCTCTTCTTCCCCTGTTCCTGTTCTGTAAGTTTTCCCTTTTAATTAATAAAGAAGAACCTTAGAATATTCTATTCAGAGTTAGTTTGGGATTATTTGGCTTGCATCGCCCCCCATTTGATGTGTTCAAGCATCAGAAGAGAAAGAGGAAGAATTATGGGAGCCAGAGAGGCAGAGGACACCACAGGAAAACACACTGAGTCAACTGACCTTGGCTCACAGGGGCTCATGGAGACTCAACCACCGACCAGAGAACATGCATGGGACTGACCTGGCCTTCTACACATGTGTTGCTGTTGTGTGGCTTGGTCTTCTTGTGGGACTCTTGGCAGAGGGAGCAGGGCTGTTTCTGACTCTGTTGCAGGAGCAAGGATGGGGGGGCTGGCAGGCGGAGAGGATGAATAGGACAGCCGAGGAAGAGGAGGGCAGGGAGCAAAAAAGAGAACAAGGATAGGACACCAGGGAACAGCCACCCAGCTACACAGGAAGCCGGGAAGAAGGAAGTAAAGAAAGGTATGCAGAAAGATGAGAGTCCAGAGGTAAAATGTAGCTGGGTTAATTTAGGTTAAGAAAAACTGGTAAAGCCTACAACTCAATCCCAGAGAACCAAGAAAATGAGGACTCTAAGAGACATACATGGATCTAATCTACATGGGAAGTAGAAAAAGACAAGATCTCCTGAATAAATTGGGAGCATGGGGACCACGGGAGAGGGTAGAAGGGTGATGTGGGATTCCCCTCTGTATGCTGTGTATGTTGTGAAGACCATTGGTTAATAAAGGACTGTCTTGGGCCTTGACAGGGCAGAATAGAGGTAGGCAGGGAGGAAAACTAAACTGAATGCTGGGAGGAAGAAGGCAGAGTCAGGAGAAATCATACAGTCCCGGTGGAACTTTACAGTAGGCCACAGCATTGTGGCGATACACAGATTAATAGAGATGGGTTAGTTTAGGATATGAGTTAGCCAGAAATATGCTTAAGCTATTGGCCAAACAGTATTGCAGATAATATGATTTCTGTGTTATTATTTCGGTTCTGGACAGCTGGGAACAAACAATTGGCCCTCCTACAACATAAGGGGAGAGGAGAGAAAGGAAGAGGAGTGAAGACAAATATATAGCTAAATAAAAATAATTTTTAAAAAAGCTAGTAAGAAACAAGGCAAGCTAAGGCCAGGAACTCATAACCAAGAATAAGCCTCCATGTGTAATTTATTTGGGATAAATCTGGGGTGGTGGGTCCCTCAAAAACATAAAGAGTCACATAACAGGGAGCTGATTGCTCCTCTCACTATGCCTTGGTTAGCTGTGTATTCTAAACATTACCGCAGTGGAGACTTTACAGCTTCCATCTTAGCGCTCACAGAGGCAGAGAGGCTGGGAGTGTGGCGTGGTGCCACTCAAAGGCAGGGAAGAGCAAGAAAAATGATGGCCCTTATGCCAGCAGGGTGTTTGACATGCCTCATGCCTGGTGGCTGGTGTGACCGGACCCTCTGGGAAAAGGCTGAGTTAGGGTGCAGATGTCCCCAGCCCCCAGAGGCCTGCATATTGTTAAGAACACGGAAGACGCCTGAATTGGTTGTCCAAGTTTAAGGTGTAGTTTTATTTACAAAGTGAGAGGACGCATTAGGAACAGATGATACAGGGACAAATGGGTTTCCGGGAACCTCATCTTCGTGAAAAGTATATAAATATATTACAGGACACTGTATATAGTAAACATTAGAAACCGATACAGTAAACATTGCTAGTTTCTTCTCTATGCCAATATTACTGTCATTAAAAGCTTAAATACTGGCTTCAAGTATCCTCTATAAAATAAATCTACTTTATTAAAATACTGGAAAAATTTGCTATAAACAAGATTTGATACATTAAAAATAAACTCATTGTCTTTGTAACAAAGTCCACTATGATCAAATGCTGCTTCCAGTCGGAAGACCTGCCTTGCTCAGGTCATGATAACCATCAGAGGTGAAAGCGGCTGTAAAACACCACACCCCGGCGGGTTTCTGGCAGGAGCACCCTCCTCTAGGGGTGAGGACTGCAGGAGCACGCTCCTCTAAGGGTGAGGACTGATTGCGTGGCCTGGCTGCTCTTGTCTGAGTGGAGCAGGAGTCAGTTGGAGGCAAGGAGGGAGGGAGGCTGCTCGGTCACTGTGGGAGCCATGGCTGTGCCTTCTGCTCTTCAGCCTGAAGGTGAGTCAGGACATGGAGGATGACTTGATAGCAGAAAACGTACTGACCCTGTAGGGGAGGTGGTGGGAAAGGCAGAGAGAAGAGGCTTTATTTGCACAAGTTTATACACACTAAGGTTTGAGAAGGTTGAAAACAGGAACTTTGTTTAAGCGCGAGTGTAAGAGTCGGGGCACAGAACTGCATAGTACCACAAAGATTACAAACCACAAGCAAACTGATGAAAAGAGAAGGGAGGGTACCAATGGCTATGTGCAGAATGATCCTGCATCACACAACCATCCTAAGAAATCCTGCTCTCTGTGAGTTTGTCTTACTGCTTGGTGCTGGGGACCAAAGCCAGGGCTGGGCTCGCTAGGCAAGTGTCCTCTACGGAGCTTTCTCCCCAACCTCTAAAACCTACATTTTCTAGAGCTACTGAACTCATGTTCTTGCTTTAAAATGCCAATAAATTAGTAGCCAAGACTCTATTAAAACAAACTTCTTTAAATATTTCAGAGCAAAAATATAGAAATAAAATTTATTTATTTTGTTTTTTTTGAGACATGGTTTTCTCTGTGTAACCCTGACTGTCTACTCAGTAGACCAGGCTGGCCTCAAACTCACAGAGATCAGACTGCCTCTGCCTCCCAAGTGTTTGGGTTAAAGGCGTGTGTCACCACCATTTGGTTTAATTTTTAGAAGTAAAAATTAAAATACAGTATAATTTTAATATATAATAAAATAACACATAATATTTAAGTAATAAATATAAAATAATTTTTCTTTCAGTATTTTTTGTTCAAAAGAGTAAAGAAATCGATGAGCTCTGATAAATGAGTCCTTACGGTGAAATTAATGCCTGAGCTGATGATACTGAGATCTGAGGTTTTCTTGTTATCTGGCCAAGAATTAATGACTGAAAATAAATGGAAAGGAATCGCAATGGACTGGAGAGATGACCAGCAATTCAGAACACTTGCTGTTCTGCAGAGGAGTTTGGTTCCCCACATCCCTGGACGGCTCACAGCTGCCCGCAACTGCAGCCCTAGCAGAGCTGAAGATAAAGTCTTAGAAAACAAAATGAAGCCCAGAGCATATTAAATGGAGAGCGATGGAACAAGAACCGCAACAGGAGCTCACAATGAAGTGTGAGGTCCTGGGTTTGATCCTCAAAAACCACAAAAAATCTAGGAAGGTGGAGTCAGACACATTCCTGGGGTTCACTAGGCAGCCAGGTTGGGTGGGTCTGTGAGCTCTGGCCAATAGAGACCCTGCCTAAAAAAAAAAAAAGAAAAAGAAAAAAGAAAAGGAAAGACAAGACACCCAAGGTTGTCATCTGGCCTCACACATGTGCACACACACACACACACACACACACACACACACACACACACAGAGGCAAGAGAGGGAGGAAGAAGAAATGCAATGGTCACAGAGAGTGAATATGCTGGAGGCTTAAGGCAAAGGCTGCTGCCCTCACTGCTGGAGCCCACGGAGGGAGTGGACAGGCAGAGCTGCTGCCTTCACTGCTGGTGCCCACAGAGGGAGTGAACAGGCAGAGCTTCCACAGCAGCACTGTGAAGATGGCTCTGCAGGGGGCTAGCCCTGCGGCTCCCTCGGGCTGTTAGTGTTGTGTTGATTTTTCTTACCTGAAACTGACCATGGATGGAATCACCCAGTGCCTCCCAGCTGATCCACCCGGTACAGAGAGTACACTATTCTAACCTTGAGCCTAGCATTGATGGGTGCCCCCACCCTCTCTTTCTTCTATATGGAGACTCTGTGGTAGATTTAAAACACAAAAAGTGGTTTTTACATGATCACAGAGTCACATTTGTCTGCCACTTAAAAACACAGGCACTGCTGTTCTTAGCTTGCCCGCCTTTCTAGTCATGGACAGTTTCAGCTCAGATTGGCTAAGGAGAACATGTGGATTGGCATGAGCAGTGTTCTTCTGCCTACGTGTTCATTCATTCCAGGCATTTGAGATCTGTGCACCAGCAGCGTCTCCCAGAACCTAGAGCACACCACTGAGTCAGACACGGGCTGCTACAGGACCAGAGACACTGCATGGGGTGGGTGGTGAGTGTGGCAGGCCATCACATAGCTCTGAAAGTGACACGCACTTTAGCCAAGGCTGGGTGAAGGAAGCCAGCCATTGCTGTCTGGGGACACAATTTTAAACAGAGCGACACTATTAAGAAAGTAGCACCCGCCAAGCTTGGTGCCCTATGCCTCTGAGTTTGAGACCAACTTACTCTATATAGTGAGTTCCAGGCCAACCAGGGCTGCATGGTGAAACCCTGTCCAAAATTTTAAACAGTAACCCTTCCTTCAGTTGTTTGCCTACATGAGCCCTGTGGGTTCCAGTGGATACACACGCCAAACTCATGATTGTATATAAGACCCTGATTAAAGTCGATAGACACCCCAAACTCACGATCGTATAGATGACCCTGATCACAAATTAAAAAACAGAGACAAATGAGGAAAGAGGGATTTGTAGCGAGGAGGGTGGTAACCACGGTAGAGAATGAATAAGAGGGGTGGTGTTATTCCAGAGAGAAAGAATTAGAATGTGTTATATGCACGTTGAAATTGTAATAAACAAATAAATAATCTAATAAAGTTAATTAAAAAAAAAGTAACATTTAAGCCCAAAGCTGGTGAATCCTCAGGCAGAGTGTCCTGCTGGGAGGGAATGGGTCTCTGTGTTCATGAAGGCGCCTGTACAGACGGATAGGGTTTCCTTTGCCTGAGAGGCAAGCTGCCACAGGCCTGTCTCCTGGAGTGATTGACTCTGCTAAGTTCTGATGTCTTGGGTCTGCGTAGAATTCTTGTTCACATGTGTGTTCCCTTTCTCCATTTTTTTAAAAATTAAAAATAATATCTAAAAATATAATCTAAATTATTTTCTGAATTAACACCCATGTTGAAAGAAAAAGCTCTTTATGACAAGAGATGGAAGGAAATCTTAAAAAGATCTCTGAGCAAAGCATCAGCCCTTTCCTGGATCTTCCAGCTGCCCAAGAAGCTGCGGCAGGAAGAGTGAGCCCTACAGCTCCAGGTCAGCCTGGACAACGCAGCAAGGCCATCCCCTAAAGAAAACTATAACAGAGAACAAAGGTTTAAGAGCACTTCTAAAATACGAGAGTCTTAAAAATGGATCCTCATTAGCATATGGGGACTCACCTCTGTCTGCACCATGCCATGTCTTTGTAGTCTCATGCAGCGCACTAAGTCAGAGATGTCGAACTGTGGAGACACAGAGCAGTGCATTAGACACAGAGCCCGGAAGATGCACAGGACA